AATAGCAACAGAAACAAATAAAACCCCATGATTCTTTTCTAAGAACAACCAACTTAGAAAAAGGGGAAGATATAAGAGGTTAGGTGGTAGTTAGGCAGTGGGAATCTCCTTCCTGAAGCAACTACATGCAGAATAATAATGATTTTCGACGTATGCTAAAACATTTATTCAGAGCTAGACATCAAGTTAAACCCTTGATGTGTGACCCTAACTACTGTATGAGACTGGTTCTGTCATTGCTACCAATTTACAGATGAGAGAACTGAGGCTCAGGAAGGTTAAATTACTCCCAAAGTCACACAGCTAGATGTGGCAGAGCAGGTGTTTGACATCAGGTCTCACGTCAACACCTCCACTCATTCATTGCTCAAGAGTGGTTCACACTTAGCTCTTACTCTCCCATCCAAGTACTAACCAGGCTTGTCTCTGCTTAACTTCCGAGATCAAAAGACATCAGGTGCATTCAGGGTGGTATGGCCATAGATCTGGCTCTTACTCTCAATCATCTCCCTTCTACAATGTTCCCAAACATTTTTTTCTTGCTTCTTTCCCTTCCTACCCAGTCTCTCTAAACAAATCACAGCAAACTACTTTAAACTATCAAGAACCCACATTAGTCCTGATCATTCTTTCACAAAAGGCAGGCACCCATTTGAGCAAAGGAAGGAAATGTACTGGGCCCAATAACTGAACAATCCTTCAGGTACGGGCAGGAGCAGGAATGCCAATGATGTCATCAGGTCACACTTTTTATCTAGGATTCAGTTCTGCTTTCCTCTGTGTGGCTTTCAGCCATTATATGTTGAGAGACAGGTGAAACATTGTCATCAGCCAGAAGACAGGATCCATCATTCAGGCTGCGGTTTTGAGAAGGGCCTATAGGGGGCAAAAGAACAGAAGCAGGAGTCCTCTCCAGTTAGGTTGCTAAGCTAACAAATCAGAGACGCATCTCCAAAGAGAATGTGCTTCAGGACTGGGCATAGCACCGATTCAGTTATCTGAACCATCTCCAGAATGCACCCTTTGAGCAAAACTTTGGAAAACTTTCTGAAAGTATTTTTAAGATGATTTATCCCATAAAATGTGCTAAACCTTAATTAAGCATTGAGGTTTGACAGTTATACAACTACCAAGCTTTTTTCATATCAAACTTAGCAAAGATTTGCATAAGAGGAACTGTTATTTTAATACATTTTCACCAATAGTGTTGTATAATTTTTATGTGATTTCCTTGATGAACCCACTAAAACTATTTTCCATCCATAGTTTTGCATAACCTGCAGAAAAAGGAAATACTAAGAACTAGGAACTGGGCAATTCAGCAAGATCACAGAAACCATGTGCTGGGAGCTGCCTGTCAGCAAATGCTGCCAGAGATTCTGTATATATCAGGACAAATCTTGCAGATAAGGGCAAAATAACTGGCTCTGGCAACGTTTTGGATAGGCTGCATATTTCCTTGTGGGGTCATTGCTACTTCTAAAGAATCCAATTAGAACTATTATTTTGGAGCACAGCATTTTGTGTGCCTGCATATTTCCTGCCTCCCTGTCCAGAGTCCCCCCAAATAGGCCTCTCCCCACCTGTTTGTTGCCCTGTTGAATGGCATTATTGATTACAGGGGAATTTATGGCACTGAATGATGGGGAGCCAGCAATAGATTCTAGTTACTGTTGCTGCATAACAAACGACCCTGAAATTTAGTAGCTTAAAAGAATTATTTTGTTTTTCTCATAATATCATGGGTCAGGAATTCTGCAAGGTCTTGGGATGGCTGTTCTCATAGAGCCTCAGTCCTCTGAAGGCTCGACTGGACTGTATATCCAACGTGGCTCACTCACATGGCTGTCAGTTGATGCTGTCAGCTAGGCTGTCCACCCCAACACCTACAAGCGGCCTCTTCAGGTTGTCTGCACTCCCTCACAATAGAGCAACCTCAGATTCTTACACAGTAGTGCAAGGCTTCAAATGTGAGTGTTCCAGCATGCAAGATGGAAGCTGCATCATTTTTTATGACCTAGCATTGGATGTCATGCAGTGTCATTTCCATCACATTCTATTGGTTACAAGTGAGTTATAAACCCACTCAGATTCAAGAAGAGGGGACACATACCCTGCCTCCTGATGAGAGGAATGTCTACAATGGCCACACTGCAGAGGAGCCCGTGGCATAGGAGAGATCACTGGGGCCATATGGAAAATACAATCTGCCACACAGGGTTGGTTAGTAAAAATACATTGTGTGAAGTCATTGAATTTAAGGTGAAGTATAGAAGTCGCCAGACTTTGTGGAGACACTGACACAGGAGGCAGAAACCACAGCATGTTCACATTCTTGCACTCTCAAGAGCAAAGGGGTCTGAGAAAACAGTGAGAGTTTAATCAAAGTCAGGTTAAAGTGTCAGTAAAGGCTTCACTCTGTATTTATACTCCAGGTTACCTTGCTTATGGTGCTCTTACAGTAATTCATTCATCATTTCACAGACTTTGAGGGAATGCCTCCTACATGTGCTAGGGACTATTCAAGCTCTTGGTGCAGGTCAGCCAATAAATGTAACAAAAGGTCCTACCCTCCTCGAGAGTGCGTTCTAGCGGAGTCATGATACTAAAACAACACAGCTTGTGAATTAAGTAAATGACAATCAGAGGCAAAGCCTCATGTGATCTAAATAGGTAGCTCCACCCTGAAGGATATTCTGGGCTGAAGTTTTGCCAGGTGACTGAGCAATAGAGAGAGTGGTGGAAGTCTTTGGGAAAAAAAATCCATAGGTAAAAGGGTTAATTTGGTCTGTGAGTTTAAGAGGGCTTCTGGATACTGCTAACTACTTGCTTCTCCCAAATCATGCTGTTTCACATCCACCTTGTGACCTTTGTTGTACTTGTTCTACTGTCCAAAGGAACCCCTAGGGACCCTAACACTTCACCCCATCCTGGGTATGCACCCTTTGCCATGTAATTTTGGAGTTCCATAAAGACACCCAATGCTTCCTCATGTGATTTACCGATGGAATAAGGCAGACAAGAGTGTGTCAGCTCTGACACCAGACCTAAAGTAGTCTTGCATGGTTCTGCTTGTGCTCTCACCCCTCTGCCATCATAAAAGCATGCCATGAAAGGGGTTGGCTCGCTGGAGGATTAGAGACATGTGGACCAAGCCCAGCCCCCAGTCTCCCCAAGCAACAGCCAGCCCACCTGCTAGACACATGAATGAGCCAAGCCAAGATCCCAGATGCATGAATAATAAACTTACAAGCTGTGAGATTTTGTGGTTGCTTGTTATGCAGCATTTTTGGTCAATAGAATGGGTGACACAACTGAGACAAAGCAGAACTCCTTCTCTCAGAGACCTGTTCATAGTTTTATTTTGAAGCCAGTCAGCACAAGTCCCTATCAATGCTGCTGGGGCTCCCTTGGTACTGAGCTATGTGGAAGGATAATAAGAGGCAAAATTATCAGTTGCCTCTAGATTCGTGACGGGTGAGGGGTGGAGGAATCAAGGGGAATAAGGCTTCATTTCTGCCTGTGAAGGTTTGCATTTTATGTCTCCTTGTCTGAAGGGACAAAAACATGGCTCCTAATGCCTACCATGACCAAGGGATATGGAAGCCCCAAGGAGAAACTAAGCATCCCCTTGCTCCTTTTGATGCCCTTAACTCATCAAGTTCCCTGCCTGTAGACTCAGCTTTTTATTTTATCAGAATTAAAAATAAATCTGTTCTGGCAGCCTTACAGAAGGATGGAGACTATACCACCCATTATCTAGATGGGTCAATCCTGACAGTAATCTTGGCAAACTGAGCTCTTATTCCAGAATGCATCAAGCAACGATAGAAGGGTAGGCTGTTTAATCCACTTCCAAATCACTGTGACAATGAATTGTCTTTTGAGGAATTAATCGCATGCGAACAAAACTGCCCTCTCAAGTAGAGTAGCTGCTCTCTCCATAGTCAGAAACTTTTCCATGCTTCTCTTATTCTTTTGTGTCTTGCACAGTCCCTATCAAAATGTGAACACCCCCGGGGAGAGGTGACCTCTTTGGCCTTCACCGGTCAATGCTTTGGGAAAGGAAGAATTATTTTAAAACAGCTGAGCGAAAGAATGGCAACTTATTTGTGTAACTGTTCATTTTCGGTCTTTCCCACTGCACTGTAAGCGCCAAGAGGTCTGGGACCATGTCTAGGTTGTTTACGCACCTTATTTCCAGAATCCAGGATGTATAGGAGACCCTCGATAACCCCGTGGAAGAAGAGCAGAAGGGAAGAAACATAGGAAGGAAAGGAGGGAAGGAAATAGCGCAGCGTTACCCCTCATATTAACTAGTTAAAGACCTGAAGATACTTTACTGGGCTCTTACTATGCGTGCATGTGGGGAGGAATCTCTAGAGCAGGAGAAAGAACCCTCACTCTCCCACTCTCTCACCTTAAGCTGGCGTGGTGCTTTGCATTTTTGCTGTGTACTCCAAGAAAAGACGAGAACTAAGGCCAAGAAAAAGTTGGCCTGTGGGGCATTTCACCGTGTCAATGCATTACACGTGATGTACTCAAACGCCTCAGCCTGTGGGATTCAGACACTGAGGATGAGCACTCTCAAAGTAACCAAGCTGAGAACCAAGTTTCAGGAAGGCGCTCAGTTTTGCTCTCGTCCTCTAGACGAGTTCAGTGGCTTCTCAACCTTTAATGTGCATGCGAATCACCTGGGGATCTCGATAATGCGCTGGTTTCGATTCAGTAGGTCTGGGGCGAAGTCCGAGCTGCTGCGTTTTTAACATGCTACCAGGTGACCCTTACCTGCTGACTCGAGGACCATGCCTGGAGTGTACGTGGGACTCGAGGTCCTCGCCTCCACCACCAGGTGTACGTACGCCCAGCCTCAGCTGTCCGGATCGAATCCGTGTCCCGCGCATCCCTGGCCTTCCGCCGGGAGGGGAGGAGCCGGGGCGGAGCGGGAGGAGTGGCGCGGGTCCCACGTGGTTCCTGCAGGCTACCACCTCGTCCCCTCTGAGAGGCGGCTGAGCTGCTGTGGCGCAGGAGGGGGCGGGTTCGGCGAGGGCGCGGCCTTCGGGAGCCGGCGTGCGACGCGCATCCCGGCGCTCGCCCGGGAGCCCCACTTGGCAATCTGCTCCGTGCTTCTTCCTTGCGCCCGCCTCCTCTTGTCACCTCCCAGCTCCATCCCCACCGCATCCAGCGCCTTCCCAGTGCCTCCCAGAGCAAGAAGTGGTACGCGGGGCTGCAGGGCGCGCCCACAAGCGGACCCCGGCTCGGCCTTGCGGGGCTCGGGCAGCAGCATGGACACCAGGCGCTGCTTCGCCAACCGCTTCGATGACTACCAGGGCAGCCTGCTGGCGGGCCAGTGTGAGGAGGCGGTGGCGCCCTTGGTCACCACCACCATCGAGCGCATCCTCCGGGAGCTGCCCCCGCTCGGGGGCGGCGCTGAGGCCCGGGGCGCAGCGGCCGCGGCCAGCAGCTGCCAGGGCGGGCTGTACGGCGGCGTGGCCGGGGTGGCCTACATGCTCTACCACGTCTCTCAGAGCCCGCTCTTTGCCGAGGCCCGGGAGCGCTACTTGCGCTCGGCCAAGCGCCTCATCGACGCGTGCGCCCGCGCCGAGGAGTGGGGCGAGCCGGACGCCGACACCCGCGCCGCCTTCCTGCTCGGGGGCGCGGGCGTGTACGCCGTGGCCACGCTCGTGTACCACGCCCTGGGCCGGTCCGACTACGTGCAGCCGCTGGGCAAGTTCCGGGCTCTGTGCGCCGTCTGCGCGCCGCTCTCCTTCCTGGAGTGCGGTTCCGACGAGCTGTTCGTGGGCCGCGCCGGCTACCTGTGCGCCGCGCTCGTGCTCAAGCAGAAACTCGCTCAGGAGGTAAGAAGCAGCCCCGTCCGCTGGTGGGGCGCTCGCGCCTGCCCGGCTCTGCCCCGCTGCCCTGCTCCGGGCTCCGGGCGCAGCGCCCCTGCCCGTTCTCCACCTCTCGTTGTGACTCTTTGTTTGCGGCTGTCGTTCCTTCAGGCCCTTGAAGTTTATCTTCTGCTTTTGTCCGTCCTTCCCGCTCTTGCTCTTCAGTCTCTCTTTTGTTGGGGTTCCGCGTCTTTGCGCTTTGTTTGTGTTTGAGGCTGAACGTGGCATCTCCCCAGATGCTTCTTTGCCTGTTAGCTTTCCGGAGGCCCTTCCCAAGTGACATTAGAAAAACAAAACCATCCTTGAAAATGAAAGGGATTTCCTTTCCTTTGACCCTCCTGTCCAAAGCTGAAGCACCCTCGATATTAGAGTCCTAGAGAAGTAATGCAAGGGTTCAGGACTGATTATGTTGTCTCCGTCAGTTATGTTGGGGAAAGTTGCTTCAGCCACCCGGGGTCTGTAACCCAGAATAACCCCAGCTGTAGGTCTGATGTGCTGACGGGATTGCTTACTATTCAGTTCATCTCATGGCTCTTAAAAATGCGGATCTGGTCAGGGTGTCCTGTTTTCCGTACATAAATATAGACAAAATTGTCCTCGGTTGTAAATGCGTAGTTTTAAAATGCGAGGTTAGAATTGTCAGGGTGACAGCCTACTTGACAGAACAGGTTTTCTTAATGAATAGCTTTCCAGTGGCTCCTTGAAGTGCATTGGATTTCATAGCTATGTATAGGGTTTTTTCTGGGTTCACTTTTAACAGGGTGCCCGGACATTAGAAGACAATGTGCCAGTTCCTGCGGAGCGGGAAAACAAATCCTGCAAAGGCTAATAGTAACTAGACCTGAAGGATAATCACTTTCATTCATGCCCCAGGGCTATTTACATATCATTTGCATTATATTTGCATCTGCTCCTCAGACCTTGCAGTCTGGCAGTAGGCAATTTTCAATTTTTTTTTACCCTAGTCGTTTTCCTTAAACTCGCTTCTTTCCCTTTGCATGCCTTGGGGTCTTTTCTCCAGAATGGAGTGGCAAACACTGGGAGACCTATCAGGTCACACAGGTGGAAACAGACCAGAAGCACTCCTTGCCCTAAATTGGTGGCCTAGGGCCAGGCTGCAACACTGATCCACTAAGACATGAAGACCTCTATTCTGCCTTCCTGCCAAACCAGATCCATCTTTTTACACTAATCAAGTTGAGGTGCTTTGGCCCTTGCTTCCAGGAGACAGAACAAGCTCTGAAAGTAAAAATACAAAACAAAAAACACTCTGAATCTGAGCAAAGCAGCCAATGTCAGTGCCAACCTCAGCTGCAGCAATCCTGGATGTTCAGGCTTGAAACTTGCAGGTCAGGGGCTAAGCACACCAGGTGGGAAGCCATTTGAGAGGAAAACACAAGTCTTAAGTGCTGTCTCCACCCCTGTGTCCTAGCCAGCATATAGCTTCGCCCTCAGTAGATGATCCATAAACCCTGATTAAATTGAATTGTGAACTTCTGTCTTCTCCCTATAAATAATCTGACATTACATCCTAGGTTTCTTTCCCTCCAGTGTTATTTATATTCACTTTCTTCTGGCAGTTCCCTCAGTTATCACCCTAGCCCAGATCCTCCCCACAGTGCTTGGCAGATCTTTGGCACCTAATAAATAGTTGAATGAATGAATCACCATTTCCTGGGATTAGTGTAAATATACTATGAGCTGGAATCTGTCAAGCCATTCCATGTACCTCTGAGAAACTAGTCTTTTTAAAAACACTTTTCATTATGTCATTTCCTCTGCTCAGCATCCTGCAATGGCTCACTCTTACCTTTTCTCCAGGGGCTTCTCAGCTCACTTGCAGTTAGAACTAAGACACTTAAAATGGCTGACAAGGCTGCACATGACCTGGCCCCTTGCATGTCTCCCCCACTTCTTGCTCATTCTGCTTCAACCACCCCGGGCCTCTTGCTGTTTCAGGCATTTACTGTTTCAGGATGTTTGTTCCCCTGTTCCCTCTGCTTGGAATACTCTTCCCCTAGCTATGTTTATAGTTTGCTCCCTGCCCTTGTGCAGGCCATTACCTCCTCTGTGAGTCCTGGCCACCCTACTTAAAGCTGCAACGCTGTCCCCTGACTTATGTCCCTTTCTTGCTTCATCTGGCTTTGATGTTCATGTCGTCTCCAATTAGAATGTAACTCCATAAGAGAAGAGGGTTTTGTTTCATTGCTGTCTTCCTAGCATTAAGACATGTTTAGGTGCTCAGCTTTCCTCTTTGTGGTGTTGCTGCAAATATTATCTACTCTATGACTTGCTTCATCTCTTAGTTTTAAGAGTGACCCACTTAACCACTATTTTCCTTTATGGTGGTGCTTTTGGTGTCACATTTTTAGAAAATCCTTTCCTACCACCACGGTTGAATATTTGTTTAATGAATGAATATTTGAATATTTGTTGAATAATGAATACTAATTTCTCAAAAACATTGCCCCAGATCAAGCTTAAGCGTTAGAGCAATGCTTGTTAAACTTCAGTGTTCATAGGGATTACCTGCAGATCTTGTCAATAACACGCAGATTCTGATTCAGCGGGCCTGGGATGGGGCCGGGATTCTGCATTTCTAACGAGTTCCCAGGTGTGTAGGCCTTGGCATTATACTGGCCTTGTCTATTAAGGTATGCTCTAAGACACCATTCTGTGCCGCTTGATGTATTTATTTTTGTGAGGTTGTAGTTCAGAATACTGATTACTATGCCCTGCCATGCTTTCATTATAAGGACCCACAGACACAATGCTCTTAGCACATAGAGACAGGAATAGTTGTGCTCCTCCTGGAAGTTGAATTTTTTTTCAATCTTCAGGATATGTCGTGTAATTGACTGTTTCTCACTTTATGCTGGCTACTAGGAAGCAAGCGTGTGGTCAGAATTGTGCTCCACCTAAGCTTGCATACAGTGCCTTATCACATGTACTTTTGTATGCTAGCACTGACCCTGGGTTTATCTAGCATTTTTCTTCCTTAGTTTACCCTTTTCTGAATTTTATTCTATTTGATTTGATTGTTTGCATTTATGTTTATAAGATTCAGAGATGGAAAAAAAGTGTGTATATGGAGAGAGAGACAGACATACATTTGGCCCTTCTGGGAATACTCAAGGGAAGTAACTTTGAGGTGTGTTAGGCAGATATCTTGGGGAAAATGGAGCACTGAGGTCCCAAGAAATCATAAAAACTTGCACTAGGTCTCTTCTGCTTTCCAGACTGGTGGAAATGTAGCAGGGAAAAGGAAGTTAGAAAACAATGGTGGCAGGATGAAGAGGAGGCCCAGGGACCACAGCTTAAATAATAACTTTACCACTGGGTGACCTTGGACGAGTAATTTAACATCTGTGAGCCTCAGTTCCCTCACTTGTAAAATGGATTGATAATAGCTTCTGCATTCACTTACTCTGTCACGTATTCCTTCATTTAATGACTGTCAGGTTTCTCTGTGTGCCTGGCACCTTGCTGGATGCCAGGAGTTAGTAGGGAACAAAAATCAACATAATTATGTTGTTATAGGTGCTCCGAAGGGAGTAAACAGGAAATAATCGGGGGTGAGGCCAGAGAGAGGAGGGCTGCTACTTGGTATACATTAGTCAGGAAAGCTGCTCTGTGCAGGTAATATCCTAGCTCATCGCTGGAGCAGGGGGAATGAAGTGCTTGCTTTAAGAGCAGGTATTCCAGGCAGAGGGGACAGCAAGGACAAAGTGCCTGAGGTGGGAAACTGCTTGGAGATTTCAAAGGAAAGGAAGGCCACCAGCATGGCTAGAGCAAAGTGCACGAGAGCTAGTGGAGTTTGAGACCAGTAGGAGCTGTGAGGAGGGTAAAATCAGATCTTGCAGGACCAAGTCAGTCACAGCTGGGAGTCTGCATTTGTTTCAGATTTAAACAGGAAAATGTCTTCATCTTATTTACCTTTTAAAAAGATCACCCTGGTTTTCTGTATGGACAGTGGATGGAACAGGATTAAGAATGGTCACAAGGGGCAGTGACTGTAATGGGGTATGTGGTGGGGACTTGATAATGGGGGGAATCTAGTAACCACAGTGTTGCCTGTGTGATTTTATATTAATGATACCAAAAAAAGAATGGTCTCAAGGGGGACGGGGGACTGGTTACTGGGGGTCTAAACCCCTGTTGTGCCAAGGACTCCTTTGTAAATCTGGTGAAGCCTATGGTACCTCTTAGAATAACATTTTTAGATGCATAAAACAGAAGATTACAAAGGAAGCCAATTATGTTGAAATTTGGTTACCAAAACATTTAAAAATGTGATGTAGTAGCATATGTGTTTCTTTATTATGAACCCATTAAATAAGAAGATTTTGCAGCAGGCCAAGGGTTATGGTGCTTTTTGAAACAGTGATGAAGGTCAGTGATATTTTGAGATACCTGTGACAACTGCAGTGTGATACGAATATATCTGTGACTTCTATAGGTGGTAAAGTCACAAGTACTGCTGGCAGTTTGTGGTCTGCGTTTATAATGAAAGGAAATGCTAAGTTGTTTAAATAAGATTTGAGAAAATGTAGATGTGATTTTATTTTTCCAGCCAAAGGGGACTGGACTGGAAGTTGCTGTGATGACTCACCCTAGATAAAACAACTAGTATAGTGCTTGGCAAATAGTAGCTGCTTAATGAAATCAATGCTACTCCCTTTTGCATCTACTAACAGAAAATCCAAAGCAATTCTGAAGATCACATAGAAAATTATACCTGGTATAAGGAATCCATCTTCCTGCCATGGTTTTAAAACACTTGATTGCTAGATTAGTTGGGTCTTCAGCTCATTACCTAAGGCAGGTGGCTGGCTGGTAGCTGTGTAAGTGGGGATGCTTTAGCTGCAAGTAACAGAATATCCAATAAAAAGTGAGATTTAAATAAAGGGACATTTATTTGCTCACTTTACAAGGTGTGTAGAGCTAGGCCATTCTACTGGTTCAGC